AAGAAGACAGGGGCTGAAGGTGTGCTATCTGACTTGTGAGTATACTGTAGAGCTACAGCCAAATTAACATGGTGCTGATGAACAGAATTGGATATATAGGACACAAAAATACATCCATGCATTTGGAAACAGAAAAGGCAAGAACTCACATTAGAGGTAGAATATGGGAAAGAAAGGTATCTATGAGATGAATTTTCCATAAAATGTATATGAATTCTCACAGACAATTGTTGACCATGATGATGCCCTCATGTGCCATCAGATATGACTGAGTATCTGGTATGCAGGTCTTTTCCCTATTTGAAGTATTAAGAAAAGGCCTGAACTTCATTTCAATGTTCCAAATTGGAGGCTTACAACACTTTCTCATTCAACCTATTTTCTTTTGATTTGATCCAGTAAAGTGAAGGCAAATACTGCAGAATACAGGTACATCATCTTCCAGTCATGCAGGCATTGTCTAGGGGCTATAACGTTTTGTTTTGGGAGTGCTTCCTTGCAAACGGGAGCATCTACACATGGCTTTCACCATCCACAAGAATGCATGGTGTCCTGTTAAATAGACAGTGATTTATTCTCATAGGCCAGGACTAGGCAACATAATTTTAAAATTAATATTAAAAAGTAAGCCATTATATCATAATACTCTAACACAGATCTCATGGCTCTCAATTGTAAAATGGTAAGGAACAACCTTCATGGTGATGTGCTGACTTCCAGAACCATGCTATAATTATTCTCTATTAAATAATTGAAATAAAAGTAAATATAAAAGAAAAATAATTTAACCAGATGAGGTTGATTAATGCAATCTTTACCTGTAACATGAATTGCTAAATGGTCTTATTAATAAAAACCCAAAGCCAAATATTGGGGTGAAAGCTGAAATATCAGAGAAATAGAACAAACCAGCCACAAGTTCTTATCACTAGGAAATCCTCAGCCCAAGAGAGCTACTTCCTGTATACTCACGCCTATACATTTTTCTGTGCCCTGCCATCTTTCTTCCTCTCTCCACCCAGCTACATCATCTTTCTGCCCAGCTCTATCACTTCCTGTCTGTATATACCTCCAGACCTCTATGGCTAACTAGTGCTGGGATTAAAGGCATATGCCACCATGCCTGGCTCTATTCCCAGTGTGGCCTTGAACTCATGGAGATGCAGATGAATCCCTGCCCCCCAAATGCTAGGATTAAAGGCATGTACTACCACTGTCTGACCTCTATGTTTAAAATAGTAGCTGGCTTTTTCCTTTAATCCCCAGACAAGATTTATTTGTTAGAGCACAAACAAAATATCACCACATTTACCTTAACATTATTAAAACCAAAAATTAGACATAAGAACTTAAAGGACAAGAGAGTATGCTGAAGATAAACTACTCTAACAACATGGTTTTGTAAGTGTACTTTGTTAAATTTTATTGATAATACACAAACTAGTTAAAGAGAGAATGCTTTTTCTCTTCTTCTCTTTGGATGACTGCACAAAACCTGAACCAAGGCACTGTCTTGCTAGGCCAGAACTTTATCATTGAACCATACCAGTTGTGGTACAGTACATTTCAATGACAAATCATCTTGGCTCCTTGAAGCAAATTTACTTCTCATTTCTCATAAGATATTTTGTGTGTGCTTTCCTCGGCATTCTAGGAGGTAAACATGATTTTAGCTCTTCTTAGTTCTAAGTGAGGCAGAGTCTTGGAGTTAAATTTTGAAAGGAATGTTATATCACAAGAGAAAGGGCGTTCCAGGTAGTGTGGGAGGGGAATTTTCTAAGTAAGATGTTTTTGAACAGTTACTGAATTGTGCCTCTAAAAACAACCTTGGGTGTTGATTTGTTTTGAAAGGAAATGTCAAGGAAGCATTTCCTTTCATGCCTGAGTTCAGTCCAAATCTCACTGCGTACATACATTTTGAAGTTCCAGAATCTTCCTTGTTTAGTTTTCTTTATTCTTGAACCCAAATACTAGTTCTTCACAAGATATTTCATTCACCAGCTCTGAAAGCTGCCTTATGTGATGGAATCCTTTGGTGAGGTTGGGTGAATAAATTTGGATAAATGTCACAAGTGCTTCCCTTCTGAATCATCCCAGAGCTAAATATTCCAAGGCAATGGCAAACGTGGGCCTGGCTATTTTTGTACCCCATGACACCCCAGGAGTACAAGGTTTCTTTGTAGAATTTAAGTGAAATTTCCAGACACTAACATTTGTCAAGGAAAAAGAAATCATAACATGTAACACTTCAAGTTTGACAGGCACATGTAACAAATCTAAGAATAAAGAGGCTTTGAGCAAAAAGTTGGCCAGCATTCCACCTCACTGTGGACAGACAGGAGCCATGATGCAAAGAAGGAAAGTAAACAAGTGTTGAGCAAGACTGCCTGAGTAAATAGAGTTTGGGCTACAGAATCAGGTCAATATTAACATCAGAACAAAGATACTGAGGTTCTTCTTAGAGTCTCTGAGAGGGTATCAATAAGATAAGCACAAGGCCTTGGATACTCTAGAAATGGTTTTAGCGTAGTCAGTGATGTACAATAAATAATCAATCCTATCAATTTACCTAAACAATTCAATTAAATCAACTGCTTGAACAAGTAAACTAGAAAATAATTCCAGATTATTTATTGTATATGTACATAGCAGCCACTGTGTCTGTTAGGCAAGCATACACATGCATTTCTCAGACAATAATTATGGATTAATCAAGTATTGGTGAAATTATTAAGGCCACTCCACTTAGTTAAAAGGAAGATTTATTTAGTGGGCAACTTACAAAAAGGGAAAGGCAGGTTGCAGGGTCTGGGGAAGATGTATCGCAGTCCAGCGGTGTTCTCTGGAGCTCTGCTTGGTCCACCTCCACTGTTCAGGGTCCTGGCACAGAGAGAGCGCTGGCCCATCCAGATCACAGGTCTCCAGGTGCCTCCCCTGGCCCTGCCTCATAGGTGTGACAGTTGCCAGAGTGTCAATGGGGGTTGGAACTTCCAGATCCAAGCTGGAATGGCTACCCACTACATCCAAGTCTTTCAGAGCTATCATTAGAAGATATTCCAATAATTTTTCAAAATCTACCACTGAAAAACTTAATCTATGATGCCCTCATGTCCTACCTGAGGGCCATAGACTTTCCTCTCAGCTTCCTTATCACCAGAAGCTTAGCCCTTTACAGTCTTTCACCTAGGCCAAAATTATATTCTCAAAGCATAACACATACTGTAGCATTATAATATTGAAATATCTTCTTCTTTTCTTCTTCCTAGTTTGTAAAATTCAGGGTTCTAAAGATAATCTACACATATTCTCAGGCCAGAGCACAAACTTCCTCACTTGTCTGTCTCCTGCTGGTCTCTCTTTAAGCGATGACCACTGGCTATTTGGGGCCCTTAAAACACCCAAAACTGTTAAAAAAAAATGCTTGGTCTTTATATTTGCTAATTCTTCCATATGAAAAAATTTTCCTTTTAATGACTGTGAAAAGGCCTTCCCGGAGCAGCTCTGTTTAGTCACTGAGTACCTTAATTTTTTTCTTGCTTCGATTGTCCTTTATGCATAAAGCATAGTAGTTCTCAAAACTATGCCATTTTGAGATCTGTTTACATATTTGTCTTCCCCTGAAAGACAGGTTTCATGAGAGAGTATTCTTCAGTGTATACAGAATGGTGTCATATTTCACGATGCTGACATGCTGATAGCAATGTCCCATAAACATTGTGAATGTTATTTCATACAGCTTTGGAGCTTTGGAGATGTGATGGAAGCAGAAAGATTGTTTTTCATAATCTAGATGCCATCTCTGTCATAGGGAAGAAAGAGGATCACCACCAATAAAAGGAGGCATGAGGATGAAACCAAAGGTTAGATTGGTAAGCTTTGGACACAGAGTGGGAGACAAATTTTAAAATGTTAATGCCTCTATAAAGTAGCACAGGAAACCATCTTTTACCTCTATCTTCCAGAAGATACCAGCATTAACCACAGCTTCAATTTAGACCAGTACAACTAATTCCAACTCACCAAAGTTAACTTGCTTTGTGCTCTTCTGAATCCATCTTTCTTTAGAAATCACACATGTAGTCAGTTGTTATATTAATTACTTTTGTGTTGGTGTGTCAAATAACTGACAGAAAGAGCTTATAGGATTTATCCTGGTTCACGATTCATAGGCTTCAGTCTATGGGCATGAGTCTTGGCCTATTGTGAGAGGAAATGTCATCATGATCAGAGTGTTTTAAGAAGGAACTTCACCACACTGCAACGAGTAAATAGGGAGCAGAAGCGACAGGAAGTAGACAGAGCATGATACCGCTCCAAGGGCCTGTCTGTACTGTTCTACTTCCTTTATCCAGATGTTATCATATCCCAATCATCTCTCATCAGTGGTATGAATCACATCATCTAATATTCTTGAAAATGGCCTTGATCACACATCCACCAGTGTTCTTTACTCATCTCTAAGACATGATACAATCAAAAAAGATTAAATATCAGAAGAACCAAGAATATTGACAGAATAACAAATATTAACTGCACACAGAAACTTCGGTCTGTGAAAGGATTTAGGCTATAAATGAATAGTTCTATGGTTGTTACTATCATTTATTTTAAAATCTACAGTACCTCCCCATTCCTTTTGTTGTTTGTTTTATTTTAATTTAATTTTTATTTACTTTATTTATTGTCCATCCCCAAGATCTCAAATTAATATCAATATATCAATATAAAACACCCTCCAGTTTTAGAATTTCTAGTCTTCAAAAACTCAAACACCTTAACAGTTCAATTTCTCTAAAATATCCAGTCAGGCCAGATGGTGGTGGTGCATGCCTTTAATGCCAGCATTTAGGAGGCAGAGACAAGCAGATCTCTGAGTTCGAGGTCAACATGGTCTACAAAGTGAGTTCTAGGACAGCCAGAACTAAACAGAGAAATCCTGCCTCAAAATAAATAAATAAGGCAGACGGTCTCCGGTCTCCGTGCAGCGGCTGGCTGCGGCAGCTCCTCCGCGTCCTGAGGCTCCGAGCCAGCCGGAAGGCCTCCCTTCGCCTTTCCTCCTCCCTGGAGGCGCCGGTGGGGTGACCGGGGCTGTGGCCGAGAGGCGCGTCTCGGGGTGCAAGATGACCAACGAAGAACTTCTTCCTAAAAAGGTCCGATTGAGCAAAACAGACTTCAAAGTTATGGCACGGGATGAGTTGATTCTAAAATGGAAACAATATGAAGCATATGTTCAAGCTTTGGAGGGAAAGTACACAGACCTTAATTCAAATGATGTGACTGGCTTAAGGGAATCTGAAGAAAAACTAAGGCAGCAACAGCAGGAGTCTGCACTCAGAGAAAACATTCTTGTCATGCGATTAGCAACCAAGGAACAGGAGATTCAAGAGTGTACTACTCAAATCCAGTACCTCAAGCAAGTCCAGCAGCCGAGTGTTGCCCAACTGCGATCAACAATGGTAGGCCCAGTGATCAACTTGTTTTTCCTAAAAATGAAAGGTGAACTGGAACAGACTAAGACAAGCTGGAACAAGCCCAAAATGAACTGAGTGCCTGGAAGTTCACGCCTGATAGGTAAACAAATCATACTCCCCAGTCAAGACTTCCCTGACAGTCCCATCTAGAGAAAGCTGTGGTAGGACAGCCAAGTACTCGTTTCCACACCAAGACTCAGACTTTTTTTGAGCCAAAAAAGCCACATTCTCATACTGTCTAGCTTGTAATGGTTAATGTAAAACTTACCAGATGGACCTTGTGTTTCAGCTTTTCTCTTCCCCTTCCCCTTGCTTCGGAGGCCTGATGCCGTCGGACTATTCCGAAGAAGAGGTCACCTCCGAAAAATTCCCCTTCTTGAGCATGTAGACTCTTGAGAAAGGTTTCTGTTTGAAGAAAATAAAGGGGAAAACATATTAAGTCTGTGGCACACTGTGTCTTGAGACAGTTTGGGGGATTGAAAACCTAGAGGTTTTAAATCATGAATTGAACATGTAAAAGTCCAGTAAAATGTAAAAGTGGAATATGCATCACTCTTAACCTTGAGCATAGTGACTTAGAGACACTGTACATCAGTTGTGCCAATAAGACTGTGGACTTCATGATCATTGAACTACTGGGTCAAAACTCAAATGAGAATTTTACTTTTAAAGGGTTTACATTCTAAGCACCAACTTCTAATAAGCTGTGAGACAATCAAGTCATAACTACCGGTACAGGTAGCGCATATATTTATCCATTAGCTCTGAGCTCTTTATTATGTAATGGAGCCTTAAATCTATGTGGTTTCTATCAATGGTTTGTTCTTTGAATGGTCGTGGAAACTGTAGATAACCTTAATGGAGGACTGTACAAACGTGAAGGTGTGGTCTCACACTTCAGGTTCAAGTGTTTGCAGCATTCTGAGTATGCATTTCACAACAAGATTGTTTAAGGTATTGGCCGTGAAGAGACTCCCGTTATTCAGTAAACCCTCATCTCACTCAGCAGGCACATGTTGAACAGCATTGTCGTTGGTATTAAATGGGGGAATGTGTTCCTTCATTGTATTTGGGCCTTTTGTATTGAATTCTTGATATTAAATTAAATGTGCCTTGAAAAATGAATAAATAAATAATAAAACATAAAAATAAAACAAAATATCCAAAGTCCCTTTAAAATTCTCATGTCTTCCTAAAAATCCAAAGTCAATTAACTTTGGACTCCTGTAAAATAAAAAAATAAGTTATACAATTCTTATTAGAAGAGGGAAGTACCAGAGTGCAGTGAGAGCTGAACAGAGCAAAACCAAACCCAATTATATAAATTAAATCTTGTAGCTCAAAGTCTAGCATCTGGGATTTACTCATGATCTTCTGGGCTCCAAAGAGCTTGGGCTACTCCAATTCTCAAGTTCTGCCATTCAAAGCACATATAGTTTGTTTCATAGACTCAGGCTGATTCCACTCCACAACAGTTGCTATCCTTGGTGGTGGTCCCACAGTCTAGACATCTCCAATATGCCAGGGTCTCCCCAGGCTGCACCTTCTCCCGTGGCCCCTGGAGACAAACCTCAGTCTTTCTTTATGACCTCTTCCATCCTGGGCCTTCTATTGCACCTTCACCAATGGCCTCTCGCTGTGACAAGCCTCAGCTGTACTCCATCACCCCTTTATGCCTTCAAAGCCAGTACCACCATGTGGGAGACTGTTACACATTACCAAGTTCAACTTCCAGTATGAAATGCAGCCCCTGGCACCCTCTGGACCACAGCTTCTGAGTGCTGACCCCAAGGAAACTCTCCCAAAAAATTTCACCTCAGTGGTGATGGTCAAAAATACAGCTGATTTTTTACTTTCAGCTAATCAATATCAATTGTCACAACAAAGCAAAGGTTACACTTGTACAGATTCTTAGTTCAAAATGTCAAACATACAATCCTGATAGAGTCCTCCATTCTATTTGAAAATCCACAAGCTAGGCCTCTAGAGTCTATACTACTCTCAGAATTATCTTCCAAATGCCTGCATCTCATTAAGCTCTAAACACTTAAAGGATTTTCTAGCACCAAGTGCTAAAATCCTTAGTAGTTCTGCCCAAAACATCATAGTTAGGTCTATCACAGGAATACCATGATCCTGCTACCAATTTCTATCCAAATTGGTTTATATTGCTGTGATAAAGACCATGATCAGTTGGGAAGTGGTGGCACACACCTTTAATCCCAGCACTCTGGAGGCAGAGGTAGGTGGATCTCTGTGAGTATGAGGCTAGCCTGGTCTACAAAGTGAGGTCCAGGATAGCTCCAAAGATACACAGAGAAACCATGTCTTGAAAAAAAGGACCATGGTCAAAAGTAACTTGTGAAGGGAAGGGTTTATTGAACATGGAAGGTTGTAGTCATCATGAAGTGAAGTGAGGGCCGGAGTTCAAAGCAGGAACTGAAGCAGAGATCATGGAGGGATTCTCCTTGCTAGCCTGATTCCAATGGCTTATTCAGCCTGCTTTCTTACCTAACCCAGGACTTCCTGCCCAGGGATGGTACTGCCCACAGCTTTTTGGGCCCTCCCACATTCATTAATCAAGAAAATTCCCCCACCCCAACCCAGGCTTGCTTTCAGTCCAATCCAATGAAGGCATTTTCTCAACTGAAGTTCCTTCTTTCAAAATAACATACCTTGTTTCAAGTTGCCCCCAAACCTCACCAGTGCAGTATCCAGTACACTGACTTGTCAGAGAATTCAGGGGAACTGGCTGGAAACTCTCTGTGCTCATTCTCATCCCCGCCCCCACCACCATGCGCACCTCTAAGTGCTGCCTGAATGGAGAAAAGTATGAGCTATAAATTCAGCACGCTTTTCCCCCCCGAGCCACATATTTAACTCATGAAGGAAAGCTCTGACAGAATCGAAAACTGCATTCAAACAAAGAGCCTCATGTCATGCATTTCTCAAGGGTTTTTCTTTCTCCCTCCCTCCCTCCCTCCCTCCCTCCCTCCCTCCCTCTCTCTCTCTCTCTCTTTCTTTCTTTCTTTCTTTCTTTCTTTCTTTCTTTCTTTCTTATAAAGCTGTAACTCTCAGGATAACCATTCTTTTGTAATTTTTCCTCTTTAAACCTTCCAAAGTACTGGGAGTGCTTCAGTCAGAGGCATTCAAGAATATTAATATAAGAGGGTACTGACATGATTAATAATCATCCTTCTGAATTCTGGATGAGTCATAGTCTGCCTTGTGCATGAACCCAGTCCAAAATAGGCTTTTACTGATACACTAACATTGTGATGCCCAAGTAAACAAGGTGCCTGGTGGCAGAGACATTGCTCTCTCAACTTGCCAGCTACTCCCTTATAAGGTGTCTGAAGGGGCCTGCAAGATGTTTCAGTATATAAAGACACTTGCTGCCAAGTCCGATGACCTGAGTTTTATCCCTGCAACTTGCAGGGTAGAAAGGAGAGAGTCAACTCTTTTTTTTTTTTTGAGACAGGGTTTCTCTGTGTAGCTTTGCACCTTTCCTGGGACTCGCTTTGTAGACCAGGCTAGCCTCGAACTCACAGAGATCTGCCTGCCTCTGCCTCCCAAGTGCTGGGATTAAAGGCATGTGCCACCACTGCCAGGCGAGAGTCAACTCTTAAAAGTTGTCCTCTGACCTTCATACATAAATTATTAGAAGGATACACACACACACACACACACACACACACACACACACACACACATCACTAAATAAACAAGTAAGTGTAATGATAAAAAGTGTTTGAAGAAATTTTAATAAATTAGAATCCTATAAAAGAATCCAATTAAGCACAGATATATACATACATATGTGTGTGTGTTTACATGTACTGATTCTCAGCAAATGAGTTGGAGATGTGTGAGTATGAAGCAGACAATATTCAAGGAGGTTGTCGTATTTAACTGAAGTCTGGTCTTGAAGCCCATCAAATTCTGAGACAAGCGTGGTTAAGACTGTCAATGGTTGTGACAGAGCTGAAGGCAATGGATAGATAAAATATGTGTTCAAATCAGATACATGTATCAAAATAGATACATGTATGTCACATGCTTTCAATGTGTTTCATGCTCACAAGTACATGATGTTGCTATGGACTTTTCTGTTTTATCTTCATACAATTTATTTTTAATCATTTGTGGATCTGGGCCTCCAACTCACTGAGCTCCAACTCTTTATGCACACCACAGGCTGGCCTTGGATTCATTACACTGCTGCCTAGGCCTGTGGGGGTGGAAGTTATTAGAGTCTCTAAACTACAGATGTGGTAAGCAGCAGCACAGGCTGGCAGAGTCATCGGACACAAGCTGTGCAGGTGAACAATGACAGAGCTGAGCTCTGAACTCAGCTGGTGTGGTATCCTAGCCTTACTCTTCAGTGTGTCCTGCAGAAGAGAACTTTGTGACCACACACATTCCTGCCCTGTGGGAATGTTTTCTCCCATTCTCCTGATTCCTTGTCATCCAACCCATTCCTTGAATATTATTCATTGCTAAGTGCCACTGGCTTGCTCTACAGTTGTTTAATGTTTGCTGTTGAATAAACACTCATCTACTTATGACATAGTAGAACATGAGCAGCAAAGCTTCACTGTCCTAAATAGTACTGTGTCTCTGACATTGATGCTTTCTGTGACCCCAGCTGGGCTTGATCTTCAGTCTATATGGACAGTGCCAGATGCTCCCCACATCACCTATATTTTCTAAAGACAGAAAGGAGCCTGAAGGTAGACTATGGCTGAACCACCTCTCCATCCATTTCAGTGTTTGTATACTTTTAATTGCATTGACCTATGTATTGTCACACTAAATATTTCTCAAGGCTTATGTTACCTGGGGAATGATGTTAGTGGTTATTGAATTAATAATTGACCAACACCCAAAAAGGCCACTCTACAAGATACACAAACTTGTCCTTGCATGGCTACCAATCATACCACAAGTAGGTAATGGTGTAGGTAAGGTTGTTTTTTTTCTTTTAAGTATGTACATATATGAACTTTTCAAACAATAAATAAAAATGTTTTTTAATTGATATATAAGATTAGGTGAAGCAGATATGCAGATATGCATGTGAATATCTGTGTGTTCATAGGAAAACAAACGCCCTTTTAAGTTGGAGAAATACTTTTCAATTTCCATAGTTCTGGATACTCTGTTACTTTTCTGTTGCTGTTTTGGAACACCATGACCAAAGGTAACTGTAGAAAGAAATGGTTTATTTTGGCTTAGGAGTCTAGAGGGTCTAAGAATCCATTAGGTGAGGTGGAGGCATGGTAACAGGTGCCAGACATAGTGGCAGTAGCAGGAAGC